TAGGAGTAACCATGATTTAATGTGATTAATCCACAGTAACCCTAACAACATAAATGTATGTGTGTGTATGTATCATTGTGTAGGCCTGTTTTGACAACATAAACTTTCATTGGCCACTTCAATGCTTTGGAGAATGGGATCACTTACTGCCATGTCTAAGAATTCCCAATCCTAAAAACCTGGAATGAATGCTATTTGGCTTTGGCAGCCAGATGCCAATGGCCGCCTCACCTTATACATGATGAAAGAGAGTATGCGTCCCTGCACAGCTTTGTCTGGGGTATAAATAGCCCTGGCGCCTGTTTGCTAGCGCTCCCTGGCCTTAGCTGTGAATTGCGGTACTTAGCTGTAGCTTAGCACACTGTAGTATGATGTTTCTGGCCTAGAACACAGCTGATAGCAGCGACACACCTGCTTCGCAGGGACTGTGCACATTTCTGCACAAAGCTGGCAGCTCCCTCAGAGCCATCGTACACTGTTGAGTATTTTAATACTCTTTTTGACGTAAGCTCGTTCATAGTGTTTACGCTAAATTTACTGCAGTCAGATATTTCAAGTGCATGTGTCTAAACTGGAGTTATCTTTTCTACCAGGCTTGATTGGGCCAAATGGCGCTGTATGTGAGCTATGTAAATGGACTGACACCTATTTAAACAGTGCAATGGATTTCAGAGTAAGAGTCTTCATGTTTCAACGAGCTGCTATGAAGACAACATTAACCTTGAACCAGGACAAAGACCGACTAGGAAAGGCTATTTAAAGATTGGATACTTACCACCGGTGTCATGATACGGTATCACCAAATGAAAGATTTGTTGGTTTATTGTTTTTGTTTGGTATTTCTTGTTAAGAGGTTTAAGAGAAAGCATTTAGGACCTAAAAGATTTAGGAAATACAACTACACACAAAATAAAAAAGTGCATTAACTGCTCGGGAGAAATAGAATCCTGAGAACTGAAGCAAATGTAGAGTTGTTTTTTTTTTTTTTTTTAAGTTGGTGGAATTGGGATAGGAATGGATAAGAATGAACATTTCCGATTAAATTCAAAATCACAATCTTGTGATTATCGATCATATCAATTCAAATCCTTATTGATTTTCTTATTGATTCTTGTTTTCGTGTTAGAAAATAAAATGTAGTTTACAAATTATGCAAAATAATAGTCGGTAATAATGTGTTTGCCATGCTGCAATTGCACATGCAGATCTATTCCCACTACTGTGGACTGTGATAAATTGTATTTTTTTTTCTATTACATGGGGAATGGCTGCCTGAGTTGAGTTGCAAACTCGTCATCAGCACTTTTGACTTTGACTCACCTGGTTGTTGTTATCAGTGTGTGGTCTCTTGATGGCCACAAAGTGTCGAATTTTCCTGCAGTGACAGAAAAGGATGCATCATTTCTCTGTTGCTTCCTGAAACCTCCACATTGTGATCACTTTGATGTGTGTTAGTATTATCTTACCCTCCTTGGCCAATGACAGGTGTGATCCTCACATGCTGCTGAATGCTGTCACCTGACTTCTTCCGAGCGTAGTAAATACCCTGCCACTCCTTCAGTAACGAGAGAAGGGTCTGAGACCAAGAGAGGCTTTTTCAGGGATAGACATCGTAGGACCTATGGTTTACTGACCTTTCCTTTTTTGATACAGGTGTTGATAGTGTCCAGCAGGTCTGCTCTGTTTTTGTCACTCTTGGGGAGTTCAGTCAGTTCTTTCCCAATTAGCTCTCCTTTATGAAAGCCCATCATTCTTTCAAAGGCTGGATTCACGTACTAGGACAAACCAGAGTAGTAAAAAAAAGTGGTATTTAATAACTGCCTGTTGCAAAGCTTCAATAATTTTAATAGGTTTTCGTTCCAGTTTAGTCAAATAGCTAAGGTTTGCTTTGATTACAAATTATTATTCTGAGATTGGAAGGTTGACCGTCCCTCATAAGCTGGGGCTTTTCCTAAATTGTATGTACCTGTATTATGTGGTCCTCACTGGTAATCTCCACAGCCTCCTGACAGTGATCCAAAGCAGTAAAGACAGAATTACATGCCCTAGGGATTAAACCACAGCAACATAGAAATTAATACAAACATGTGGGGGAACCCACACAGCCACCACTAAAATACTAACTTTCACTTTAACACAGATACAAACAAAGTCCTAAAAAAATCAAATCAAATAAAGGCCATTTAGACTAAAGCCTGATAATGAATGAATTATTTTAAACATGAAATTACACTATCTACTTAACCTTATCTAATGCTTTAGATAAGCTTAATAAATTGCTCAATATCTTCTGGTGGCCTGGCTCTAGCAGTTTAAAAATAAATCTAGTGTTGCAAAGTAACATCTGGCTACAATAAAATAAATCAAAAGCCTCTCAACGAAACAAGTTTGATTTTCATTTCTGTGTTTATAATACTAGCTCTGTTCAAAAAAAAAATTAGAATATACTTAAAAGTGAGGCCATTATTTTTGTCTTCAACTGTTCATGACTTCATGTGATGAAGGATTTTCTTTTCCTCTGCTGTACCTGAGTTTGAACTGGCATCGCACCTCTCCGTGCTCCAGCTGTATGAGCTCATTGTAGCAGGCTGACACACTGCTGTTCTCCACAAACCTCTGGAGGCCAGAGCAGGTTAAATGGCATTTGAATGAGAGTGAGGAGAGAGAGATGATTGGAAAATTAAATGAGTCAGGATTCACTCAGTGGCCACTTATTTTACAGCCTGCTACGTCATTTTCACACCGTCAAACATAGTTGAGAATAAGTGGCTCTTTCACTGCTATTATAGAGGACTGTTATAGGCAACCAAGAAAAACAACAGCAACAGACCAAAGACTAATAGTGTCTCTTAGGAACAGTCACAACGAAGGCAAGTTGTTGGACTTACTCTGTTGAATCCAGCGCAGAGGATAGGGAGAACAGATGGCTCCTCCTGGTCAGGTGACCTAAACAATGACACAAGTCAATTATTATTCTTTGCAGCCGCAGACATTTGACTTTACTATTCCAAGACTATCAAGGTAAACAATCCAACTCACGTCGGCGACACAACAGCTAAAATGACTGTGTTTTCTGAGGGCTTTGTGGCACGTATCAACCTGGAAATGAAACAGAAGAAAAGTCAGGAGAATCAGACGGACACATCAACTCATGTGAAGTTGCTAGGATAGGTATGAGATAAACATGTCGGCAGCATGCTGGATGATGTCATCACCACAAAAGGATGGGCCGCAAATTTCTGCACTCACACACAAAAAAACTGAGAACACAGCATCTGCCTCAGAGGGACGACCACAAAGCCACAGTGCTGGCAACATGCTCGGGAAAATGGCCTGAAGGTGGAGGAGAACTAAGAAGACAGTGATGAAGGATAAAAGGAAGAACAGAAGGAACAAATGATGGCAGGGATCCTGGTGGGGGGATGAGTATCGAAGGGAGGGAGGTTAGTGACAGGGAAAGGAGTCAAGTAGCAAACAGGGAGCAACTGCCAAACTGTGGCAATCAGGAGACAGCAGTGATGAATGAATCTGTGTCTTTGTCCACAAAATATACGGTGGTGGCTTTTCCAACGACCAAGAACTTTGGACTGTTTAGTTAAGTCTCTAACAATCACTGCAGACCAGTTGTCTGCAGAAATCAGTTAAGTGGTGCAGTGACGAAGAATACCACAGATTTCACCAACTCTAGTACTATGGAAAGCATAGAGAGGTTTCATGTGATTAAAAATGCTCAATAGATATGCACAGATTAGAAGACTCTTTATGAAACAGACGTACATTTTGTCCAAATCTTGATTTGAACCATTGTGAAATATAAAGATGTAATGTTAAATTACAGCAGGAAACCAGTTCTGCATGTATGATTTAATTAAAAGCCAGCAAGAAAGCAAAGGCCAAATGAGGATTCTGGATATTGTCCAGACATTTATACTGTGAAGGGAAAAACTGGGACCAGAAAGTAAAACCAGTCCTTAACAAGTCCTGACAAGTGAACTACTCCTGGTTCTGCTGGGTCAATACCATCCACACGCACAATCTGTACTTAAGACTTTGGTAATCATTGTTGTTCCGACTATGTTAAGGGGCGTGCAACATCTAGATGTATGTGCACGTGGTGCCAAAAGTGGAGGCAAAAACAGATCTTGTTGAACTAAGGTGAGGACACACATTTAATGCTTTACAAGAGTAATATGTTCCATGATTGATCAGACACAAACACACAACAGCTGCAGAAGTCCAGCAGCGGAAAGAGACTGGATTGGATTAGATAAGATTAGATTAGATTAGATTTGATTAGATTAGATTAGGGGAATCACTGGGGAAATTTGACATTTCATCACACAGCCTACATTCCTTTAAATACACAGAGTGGTCATCCAGGACAGGGGCTATTTGCTACAGTGTTTTGCTTTGAACAAGCAAGATGAAAATGTGATTGATTCAATTTACAGTGTGTGCAGGAGGCTATTATAAAGAGACTAAAGAGCTGTGTGTGGCTCAGGAGCTACAGGTGGCAGACCCCTGCACTAATAGAAAAGCAGATCAAACCCAGTCAAACGTGGCCTCTATTTGCTTATATCGGGCAACGTTAGATTTTTATGCTAGATGCTACAGTATATGAATAATATCTTTTCGCTGTCTGTACCTGCATTTCTGTGGTATTGCTGTGGTATGGTTGGTGTGGTATATAGCAATATAGTGTTGTGAAAAACTTTTGATGAAAGTTGCCTCACTGACCTGTTAGACTTTCATAGTACTGACTGTATGAGGCACATATAGTAGTACAGTTTTAAATGCAGAGAAAAGTTCACTCCACATTCTCATGAATACTAAAGCGTTTTGACTAATGTCAGGACAGTCAAGTGTATATTTATTTGTTAGTTAAAAAAAGGAAAAATTGACTCATAGATGTTAACTTTAGGTCTCGTAGTGAAAGCGGTGCATCAGTGTGGCTTTCTTTGTCAGACATCTGTTTATCCTTAGGGCAGAAGTTAAATTCCTGGTTGGACTCATTTGAAGGTCAGATAGTTATCAGTACTGTATAGACAGCGGTCTTGTTAGCTGTTGTTGTATCACTAATTGCTATGGTCATTATTTCATGTTAGTCAGTAGGAAAGTGAGGGCATGTCAGAAAGTGTCTTAAATTACTGGAAATAATAATGGGTTGGTTTATGCTATGAAAAAAAAAAGAAAAAAATGTTTTCTAATTATGCTCAGCTGCATAGCAGTGTTGATGTAGGCTTTGTGACCCTTAACATAAGTTTGGGTGGAATTTGTCATCCTTGAACAGAACAACAGTTGGCAGGTTGGCTGTTGGTTTTTTACTATTATTCTGTGTGACCAAGCAGCACTTTGTGACATTTTATTAACTTAAAGTATTAATTCTGATGTTAAAGTTACACCATTTTTGCTCTAGAGTTTAACTTAAATTTCTGCAACTGTAGTGGAATAATTACCTACATGCAAAGATTATCCATATATAATACAGTCATACAGACTGATAACCCTAACAATTGTGCTAATTGCATTATGTAAACATGATATATTGTAAAAGGATATATTAGACTAATACACATAAAGGGGTTACTATTTCTTACAATACGTCTGGAGGACCCATTGTCGGAGTTGTTACACACAAACCAAAAAATTCACTAGTGACTGTACTGCAATTTGAGCCACCCATGTGGTTTATTTTTGCAGAAATAACCAAACAAATGTAATTAAGCAAATCCACATTAGTAAACCTGTAGCGTTAACAATGAGCTTACCGACAGACGGCTTCTGGCTCAAAGTAGCGGGAATTACGTCCATCTATGACTATAATTTCATGGTGCTTGTCCAGGAAACACTCGACAGCAGACTCGGGCGTTCGTGCAATGTTGCACCTGAAGCCTGCTTGGTCACAGGCCCACCAGAATGCATCACTTTGGCTGTCCTCCTTAGCAAACACCAGCAGAACCTAAGAAGATAACAATTAGAGAGATGTCTGAATGAACATCAAGACATCATCAGATGAGTACAATTTACAATGTGACAGAATTTAGAGTACTGGCATTTTTAAGTTAACTTCAGTAGAATTTTATAAAATATGCAGTAAATATAGGCCTGACCCATTTCATTACAAATTTTAAAAACATAGGTTTAAAAAAAACCTTGATATGGATTAGTAATACAAAGAAGGTTTATGAGTGATAAAATAAATCAGCACGGCCCACTTCTGATGCAAAGCGTTATTGGACTGACACTCCTATTTAACGCCATTTAACCTCTGTGGCCAAAAAGTCCAGGCCTTTCTGGCCCACATAGGATGTGTAGGCTGTACACTTCATGGGACATTCACACTCCCTTTTGCGTCAATCTGTGTAGAGTGTCAAGTTTAAAACCTGGTATTTTTGGAACTGGTAACACAGGGAGCGCATGCAGTTCCACAAGAAAGGCCATCTTTCAATGGCTGGACACAAACAGGTCAGTTTCTTGCACAGTGTTAACCACAAAAAAATGACAACAAAAATAAGATAAGGCTGTTTAAAAAGACTGGATGAGAATGGGTGAGGAGGTGGAGGAGGATGGAGAGAGAAAATAAGCGAGTGTTGGAGAGTGGCTGTGAAAGGTCCACAGTCTTTGATCCCAGCCTGGCTTGTGTATCTAAGGCTCTGCTTTGTGTAACCACGGTACTAGCTTGTGAAATTCCACACACAGAGTAGCTGGTCAATCCCAGGACCACGCTGACTCTACATGTCTCCGACCCAGCACCTAAATGTGTCATCAGTAAGAAGCCTGGTGGGGGGCAGGAGGGGGTGGGGGGGATGGGTACCATTGGTGCACAAACACATCAGTTTGATAGAAAATAGAAGATTGGCAAGATTTTTTATCATGCGTGATATGATAATGACTATGTCTACTTTCCTCTCTAGAATCCATGACTTAACTTGATATGACCTGAGCTGACTTGGCCTAACCTGACTTGACTGGACTGGACTTGAAAATGTACTTAACTATTCAGTAATGATTTTTTGCTGTTGAGGAAATGAATGTCTACTCCTTCATCAATGACAATAGTAGCTGTACAAAAGTAAAGACTAGTGTTTGGACCACATACAGTACATCGCCAGACTCTCCTGAGTCGCACTGGATCAGGTGGACTCATGAAGTCACACAGGAACAACCCGAGCCAAGTAAATAAAATGAACTGTTCAGTAACCAACAGTAACCAATTATAATAATATTTCATGTTTCTAAAGCAGCCAGAACAGAGAGATATTTGTGGTGCCAACATTTCAATCTGCTGACAATGTTTGTTATCAGCAGCTCAAACTTTCTCTTGTAATACAAGTGACATAATCTGAGCAGCACATGCACTAATCCCTCACCAGAGCAGGATGAGAAGATCCTTGAGTCAGCTTTATCTCATTCAACACTCTGTTATCAATGGACTGACACTAGAGGAAACTACTAGCTCTGTTTAAGGTTTGTGGTTTTTCCATTCAAATGATACTGCAAACTATACATAAAACAGCAGGCAATTTGTATTTGTGATGTGTGATGGACCTGGACTGGTTTATGCTATTACTATATTAGAACTACAACTAATACACCATAACAACAAGATTCTAGTGAGTTTTTTCCCCTTTTCAGGTTTGAGACCTAAAATAGAAACTATTCTAAATAAACAAATTAGTCTTTATGTTCATCAATCAGAAATTGTGGTAAGGTGTTTTAAATAGCACATTTTCTTATTTTATATTACCGTCTTTTACTGTGGTAAAAAGTGAATTAGTATAAATTATACAACATTAAAATAAAAACTTATTTCAGGGTTTTTTAAAATCACAAGATATATATACAATTATTCAAGTATTTATAGTTAATTAGATTAATGGCTATATACAATTATTCATATTTAAGTATTTATAGTTAATTAGATTAATGGAAAAATAGTTATCCAGAGCACTGAAAAACAAATTAGTGAAAATACTAATTTAAGTTTTAGATTTAAATAAAAATAAATATAAAGATTTGGTTGGTTGGAGTCATAACATTTTTCCCCAAAGGATTCAAAACTTCAGGATTAAAAAAAAGTAACATTCCTCCAGTATAATTCAGTTTATATCAGGAACCTTCTGAGTGTAAATCCAAACTGTGTTTCTCACCTGGATTGGTTCCTGGGTCAGTCTCATCGGTCCCACAAATTCTTCTGTTCCTGAAACCTGCAGGGAACAAGTGACATTGTGAGAGTGACTTCTAACAGATTAATGTCTACAGACACAACAAACCATCTGTTGACATTTCTCACCATTTCACACTTGATGTCCAGAATCATTCTGACAAATTGCTTTTTCCTACTGCATACCTTGTCCGTCCCAGTAGCACTATAACAACCTACTGTATATGTTCCGCCTAACCTCCAGTACACAGGAGAAATGTGTACTTATTAAAAAAGGGCACAGGTCAAAGAACAAACCAGAGCCTTAGCTTTCAAAAACAAAAATCTGTGTGTCAATATCTGTGCTATCAAATTTCCTTTCCAACCAATTTCCTAAATGCAGCTCGGCCGCTCTGGACTCACATGTGAACACATGGTCCAGGAGTAAGCTGTCCACTGTAAATCTCTTTAGAAAGTATTAGCAGCCGGTCACAGACCGAACTAACAGGTTTACGTGCATTATCCTGCTGCAGGAGCTCCACACCGTACTGTGTATGTGTGTATTGTGTGTTTGCAGCTTGTCCACGCAGCTTCAGTCGCCTTCTTAAAACCACATGCGTCATTCTGGGGTGAATCAGCGACTGCAGCGTGTACAGTACCTCATGATCACATGTCCTTTGAGCTTATGGAAAACACACACACACTACTTTATTAGAATAAAATTACGAGAATAAATAATCATGATTTTATGAGAAAGTTTTAATATTCAAAAAAACTAAGAATATCCCAGTATTATAAATCTAATGTAAATTATAAATATAAAAAGAAGTCTAACATTATTACAGTTATCCAATAATACCTGTGTGGTGTTTTTTTCAGAATAGACACAGATTTTTCCACCATCTTTTTAAATGTCCTGTTATGTGATGCCATTATGGCAGAAGACAAAGTACAATATCTCAGTTGTGAGACTAACGCTGACGTAGAACTTTACACAACGCTCCACGTGTACACATCTAGTTTTGATGTACATACAGGTAACAGTGGCTGGTCGATTCTCATACCCCCACCCCCCACACACACCCCACACCTCAAAACATGTCTTCTATAGTCACAACATTATCCACATAAATTTACAACGTCAGTCTTTAACTTCAATAATGTTAAAAAAAAGGAGTATTAGGTTTACACGACAATTGTTAAACTTGTGAAAATCAACAGTTGCCTTAAATGTCAACACTTATAGTAACTTTATTATTCATAATTTTAAGTTTAATTTAAAAAATGTATGTTTATGCATGTTTTAGCTTTTTTTATGGCTTTGGTTTTCATGAATTTTTGTGAATCCAAATTAAATTCAGTTCTGAATGTCTTACTGTTATAAAGGAAGTACATCTAACATGAAGCCAGAAAGTGGGAAAGCACTCTGCGAATCTTTTCTCTTTTCTGTCTTTGTCTCACACCTTATATTAATCCCCCCTTACCGACATTATGTCATTGCATATACTTATAAGCAAATATAATTTAAATGTTGCTTTTTATTATAGAGACCCTGCCCTCTCCCACTACCCAGTATTTTACTACACATCAAAGGCCAGTAAACATAACAAAGTTACAGTATGTTTAACGTAATCTTTTGCAGGTGTTTGTGTTTACAGTGATCACACATCATGAAGATGAATGAAACGATCGTTTACACCGTGGCCAGAGAACAGAGAGCGATGGCTAATCATTCTGTGTAGGTGACAAAGAAGGGGTGGATTTCTAGTCCAAACTTGACCTTTTGTGTATTTTTGGCTTTGAACCTGGGCAGACTGTTTGGAAATCAGAAATGATGCAGCTTGATGTAATTGCGGCCTTCAGAGTACAGTCAGATCTCCCAGTAATCTTGTGCATTATGTCATGTTTTCAAATGTGAAGTCAGACTTGTATTTCAGATGTATTTCAGAGATTGTCAGTGAAATGGTCCAAGCAGTCAGCTTTAATCCTGGTGTTTCACTCATCACTGTGTACAACAGGCCCGGACGTTTTGCCTGATTTAAGTCCTCTTAACAAGGCCTGAGCTTATCTGCAGTGCAGACGGCCTTCTACATCGCGCCTGGACTGACTTGAGGTCAGCTGTCTGTCTGAACAAGCTGTAACGGCTGTCATCGTTCTTATCCTTTAGACGTGATAACCTCACACTGATCAAATGAGACAATGATAAATGTCAGGTTTATCATGTTAGCAGGCTAACTGACAACAGCCTTCAGAACTGATCACCCCGCTGCCAATAACAGCTCACTTTAGAGGACACTAGAGTACAGAGTACAGTACATGTAGCTGTAGCTGTGGCTGGGTATTCACATGGACTTTTAGTAATAGCAAAAAATACTTTAAAATATAGTATAATATTCCGTATGTCACATCAATGGTTCCTAAGCTGCTCAAACTTTGGAATTCCATCAAGACCAAGGTTACTTTTTAAGTAACGAAAGAAGTGCACCAGGGTAAACAAAAAGCCTTTTTCTCTCAACAATGTTTTTCAAAGTATAAATAACAAGAAACAATGTTGCTAAATAGAAAAAGACCAACCAAGAGGTAATAACCACACTAAATGTGAATATTCGGTCAGGGTTGCCTTCACAGATCACCTGGTTAGTTACAATGTTAATTTCCTGACTGCATAGATTAAGACCCAAGTTTTGAGTCAACATTAACCTTTAAACATTCTAATATAAATATATATATTTATGGCATGTCTACAGAATATGTGAATAACGGTTATTTTCTATTCAAATGATCAGGCTGAACTGATCTACCTACATTGAAAACGTTAAATATATATTTAATCATATAAACCAAAAATACATTATATACATGAAATGTTGGCTAAAACATGCAGCTCTTTGGCACAGTATGATCATCACTGTTCTTACAATATATGATCACTGCTGCACACTATTGAATTGCATTTATTTTTAATACTTTGTCATGCTTTTGTCAGTGTTTATTATTTTAGTCATCATTAATACTAACCCTTCTTATTTACCTTTCCTGTATCTACAGCTCATATATAACTTTCTTACACATTTGTACTTGGCAGACACTGGCGTCATATTCCGGCGTGGCCTATAACTTGCCCTTAGGAACATCAAGAGAACATTATCTTTTATCTCATTTGCAGTGAAACACAGTATTTCCATTGATTCTGGTCTATGCTCACCCAGCACATGAGACTCTAAAACAAAACACTAAGCAGTGTGGCAATGACAAATCCCAGTGATGGGACTTGACCTTTGTGACTGCTACAGTAAATCTTCTACTCAGGTGGACAGAATTTGTTCTGTGCTTGAATTTCCAACCTTTTCGTAATGGGATAACACACATGTAAACACACACTTTCAGGAACGTCTCTTCGTGTAAACACTGTTCCCAGTCTGACATCCAAACTATGTTCCGCTTCACGTCCAGATGATATCCTTGCTAACACAGTCTCCTTCCTCATGACCAAAACAAGACTTTGTCTATTTTAGGCAAACTGTTCAAACCAATCATGGCTATGATTATATAAATATTTGCATGAATGTATGTATGTGTGTGTATATATATA